GATATATATGTGTAAATATATATATATATATATATATAGCTCAAGGAGGCTAATAATATCAACCTTGAAATGGTTTTAAAACAATTAAAGCTGCTTTTATTCTAGCTGAAATAAAACAAATAAGACTTTCTTCAGAAGAAAAAATATTATAGGAAATACTGTGAAAATTTCCTTGCTCTGTTAAACATTATTTGTGAAATATTTCTAATTAAAGTATTAAAGTTTCAGAGGATGGCTAATAACTTAGCCTTTAACTATAGAAATGTCTGAGTTTACATGCACGTTTATTTCAGTTGTAATGTAACTTAATCCATTTAAATTGACCTTCTCATTTAAATATTGTCTTATATTTGCCTCATTCATTTCCTTTTCCTTCGGCTTAGTCTCTATTTTAGTCGCCACAGTGGAATGAACCACATTCCAGCACATGTTTTACGCAGTGGATACTCTTCCAGCTGCAACACAGTACTGAGAAACACCAATACACACTCATACACTACAGACTTATAGCTTACCAAATTCACTTAGCTATGCCACATGTTTTTGGACTGTGGGGGAAACCGGAGCACCCGAAGCAAATCCACGCCAACACGGGGAGAACATGCAAACCAAACAAAAATGTAAACAGGTAAAGCCGTGATTTGAACCAGTGACAATCTTGCTGTGACTTGACATCGCTAACCACTGAGTCACCATGCTGCCCCATGTTTTCAATCTAAAAAAGGTTTATATTAGTCTTCATTAGTGTTTTATTTTAGTTTGTCTAGTAAAATAAAAAATGACTTAAGCTGTTGATGAAGCAATAAGAATAAATAAAATCAAGTTTTTATACATTTTTAAAATCATGTCTTTTATACTTTTTTATTATGATTTACAGAAGACACCCAGGGACATATTATATCACTCTATTGCATACATCAAATCACAGTAATTTATAAATCGGTACTTAACTTTATTTTTTACTCTTTTAATGTATAAAAAAACTCAACTTGTTACAATGAAAATGTTTTTGTAAAATAAATGAAAAAGCTAGCAATTACCCAAAAATGAACAGTATAATTCTGTGAAGAGATGATGCCAACTATAGAGCAATTCTAGAAGTATCCATAATCCTGGACCAGGCCGTATATCTTGAGCAGATGCTGCGGTGGTCATGCAGGAGTAGAGAGCATAAGACTGATTACTGANAGACCCCAGTGACAGATGAGTCTCCGCCTGAAACACCCGCAGTGACCTACTTGCATCTGCAGCTTCTTCATGATGGACATCCAGGTTTCTTCATCCTCCAGTGCCTTGACCGCAGCTCTGCGCAGAAATTTGGTCAAAGGAGAATGGTCGTACCAAACTGAGACTGGTTCCTCACAAGTTTTTCCTTTTTCTTCACTTGGCTTAGTTTGGCTTAGTTTGGGAATGTGGAGCTGCGCATTGATGGATTTGCTCTTCAGTGTTTGGACTCTAACTGAAAATTAAACCACACTGAACTGAACTAAACTGAACTTCAACTCTGTAAACTGGACTGACACGGTTTCAATTTAACAGAACTTCTGTGTTAAGCTGCTTTGACACAATCTACATTGTAAAACCGCTATAGAAATAAAGATCAACTGAATTGTGTGTAAAAACCCATTTCGTTGATGTGTTCCATAAAATTTACAACATAAAACCTTTTTTATGAAAAAAAAAAAGATTCAACCAACACATACAGCAACATGCTAAACATGATATGTTAAAATATGTGCATTTAAAGGTTTAGCTCACTCAAAAATTAAAGTTGCAAATCTGTATATTAGATTTAATCAGAGATCCTCCCATACAGCAAGGGTCCTTACACCACAAATTACTGTTAAATACAAAATATTTTAGATTCTGTTTTAAAGAGGACTATGTGGTAATGTACTGTAGTTTTGTGTATTGTTCATTTATAGATTAAATCTGACAATTGCTAAATGCAACAAAAAATGGAGAAAAAAAAAGAATACAAATATATTGATCACAGTTGAAGTCAGAATTATGAGCCCCCCTTTGAATTCTTTTTCTTTAAGTATTTCCCAAATGATGTTTAACAGAGTGAGGATGTTTTCACTGTATTTCCTTTAATATATTTTTTCTTCTGGAGAGTCTTATTTGTTTTGTTTTGGCTAGATTAAAAGCAGTTTTTAATATTTAAAAAAAAACCTTTTTTAAGGTCAAAATTATTAGCCTCTTTAAGCTATATTTTTTATTTTCTATTCTTCTGTTTTTTGATAGTCTACAGAACAAACCATCGTTATACAATAACTTGCCGTATTACGGAACCCCGGAAGGGACGTAGTGAAGGAGAAAAAAATTGGCTGTAGTGAAAAAAAAAATTGGGTGAAAGAAAAAAATGGGTGGGAAGAAAATATATATTTCTAAGTTTTTGAGTTCCCTCGCAAAGATGTCTTCTTCACTACGTCCCTTCCGGGGTTCTGTACTCTAATTACCCTAAGCTACTTAGTTACCCTTATTAACCTAGATAAGCCTTTAAATGTCACTTTAAGCTGTATAGAAGTGTCTTGAACAATATCTGGTCAAATATTATTTACTGTCATCATATCAAAGATAAAATAAATCAGTTATAAGTAATGAGTTATTAAAACTATTAAAAAGTTATAAAACTAAATAAAATCTGCTCTCCGTTAAACAGAAATTAAGGAAAAATAAACAGGGGGGGGGGGGGGGGGCGAAAACTTCTGGGGGTTTAATAATTCTATCTTCAACTGTATATATTGTAAATATATATTTTATGCTCCATATTATTTTAGAATTGTCACAGTGGCATAGACAACAGATGTCAAATTCAGTTCCTGGAGCGACACAGCTCTGCACAGTTTAGTTCCAACCCCTTATTAAACACACCCATCAAACTAATTGAGTGCTTTAGGGTTGTTTGATACCTACAGACGGAGCAGGGCAAGAACTCCAGGAACTCCAGGAATTGAGTTTGACACCCCTGGCATAGGCTAAAGGCTACAACATAAAATTGTCTAGGTTTAAAGATAAAAGCTAAAGATCTAAAACTAAAATATGTGCAAGCACAAAACCAGATAAACTTGCCCATTCTGGAAGAAAATCATTTAATTAATAAATTCACTGCTAAAAAAAAAAAAAAATTTAAAAAAAAATAAATAAATAATAATAATAATAGCTTAAACCATTCAACCTGGCTTTAGCTGGTCAGCCAGGCTGGTTTGATAGCGGGTTTTGGCCATTCCAGACTGGTCTTCTCTGGTCAGGCTGAAAGATGACCAGCTAAAACCAGCTTGACCAGCCTAACCAGGCTGGTAACCCAGCCAATACCAGCTATGTCCAGCTTAAATCAGGCTTGTCAAGCTGGTTTAAGCTGGTCAATTTCCAGTCTGACCAGCTAAGACCAGGCTGGAAATGTCCAAAACCCCTTTAAAACCAGGCTGATTGACCAGCTAAAACCAGCCAACCAGCTTAGGCTGGTTTAAGCAGTTTTTACGCAGGGTTATTTATATTTATTTTGTTTTTATTTGATTGAAATGCCAAAATATGCACATTTGTAATAATATCAATTGTAATTTACAAGAGTACAACATTTTACAAACGTGATGCATCACAAACACACAGACCTGAATTTCTTGTCATCCATACGAGACCTTGACTGACCCCTCATGGTGCTTCCCTCACGACGTTACGAGCCACATCACACACTCAAATGAGGCCGTACTAATCAAAATCTAACAAAAACAAGAAAACACAACACTAAGACTAACAATAAAACCCCAAAAAGACCTTAAAATACCTTTAAAATCGCATTTAGGCGATCTCTTCTGTGTGTGTGACGTCACTTCGATTAACGGGCTTTAGGACCCAGCGATCTGCTTTTTCTGTCTGACGGGCCTCTGCGGCGTCTGGAGCCCGAGACGGCGGAGCGGAGCAGGCCGGTGCCGGGGAGGGTCAGGACGGGGAGAGACGCGGAGGGAAGACGGTCATTGCGCGACCACCGGAGGGTTCAGGCCCGGGGCTGCATGGCGAAACAGGTAATTCACACCGATACACACACACCGACTTTGTGTCTGACATTTGAGGATGATGATGATGATGGCGATGAAGATGGTGATGGCGGTGAAGATGATGAATTCAGATCTGCGCAGATGTGCGTTTGTAAAAACCCAGCAGCTGTTTCGTTGAGAGAGTTTTGATTTTAATCCTCCTGTCGACTTCGTGACATGTTAATTCGGCTGAGTTCGCGTTGCTGAAATGAGTGTGTGTGAATGAAGCGTGCTGAAGTCTGTCAACCGGCATTACACATGTGAACAAGGATTTAAGGCTATCATGATCAGCAACTTTGACTCTGTCACAACTTTAATTGTACATCATGCATGACAAATGATGTATTTGATAGCTGGCAAAGGTCTGGTTGATATGGGGATGTTGTGTGAGGCCTCTTAGGTTTATATATGTGCAAATGTTATAGTGCAATGTTTCATGCTGTGCTTTTTTTTTTTGGTGGGTTTGAGGTTTTAAATATGGTAAAATATGTACGTAAAGCTGGAAGCTCTTCTCTGACCTACATGGCTCACTGTGTCTCCACCGCAACATGAGCTAACAGTATTAAAGGTGGCTTTTTTAGCTTATTCTTGAAGGTTTTTCAGGTGTCATGGGGTTCAGTGGTTGTCCAGTCATTAATCTTCATTAAAAGCTTGTTTATAAACCATTTTTGTGCAAACAATTAAAAACCTACACGATTTTACAGTAAAGAAAAACCTCTTGCAATGCCTTAAAGAACATATATTTTTTTAAAAACTTGACAAATAAGAAGAAATATATCTGCACTTAATAATTTAATAAGCTGGAGATGCGTATAAAAGCTCACAGCAGTCTCCTTTCTCCTACTGTTTATTTAATAAAATGAAATTAATTAAAACAATTATATATTTAATAAGCTGCTTTGACACCATCTACATTATAAAAGTGCTATATAAATAAACATAATTTGATTAAGTTATTGAGTGCTGACCTTTGTCGTTTGAAGAAATTCGGTCCCAGCATCAAATCTGGTGATTAATATTTGATTGAATTTTTGGAAGATTAGAAGATAATCTGAGTTACCTTACTGATAATTAAATTATCAGTAACTTTTGTGAAGAATTACATAAGCTATAGTTATTTTATGTAAACTTGAACTTGGACATTTGTGATTTGCATTTTGGGCTTTTATTATGTAGGCCAATGTTCAACACCAAATACACCATATTGTGTGTCTAAAATAAACTGTCAAGCTGAATTTATTTTCTATTAGTCATAGTAATATTAGTCAAGTAAAAAAGATTATATATATATATATATATATTTTTTTTTTTTGCACTTCTTGATTTTTATTTGCAGTTTTTTTTTATTGCAAATAAATTTTTTTCCTCAACTTAATTTTCCCTAAGTAAAAGGGAAAGCAAAGTAATTCTTTTTTTTCTCAAAATTCAATTTTCGCTTTGCGATTATTTATTTATTTCTTTCGAGATTTGCATTTATTTGTTTATTTTTTTGCTCAATACTTTATTTTTTGTTTGCTTTCTTTTATTTTTCAAGCATATATGGGCCTAGTTTGACTCCATACCCAACATGCCAATCTGAGTTACCTTCAGTTTAATTATCAGTAATGTCGCAGTCACAGTTTGAACTTGCAAAATTCTGTAATACGGCGCTGTGAGAAAAAAAAGGGGCGGGATTAAACAAGATGATTAGATATTTTAAAGAAGCGAGTGATAGGTTTTGAATTTGATTATGTTTTAAATTTCTGTCCAGAGAGGTAATTTTTTGATCCTCAATTAGTCTCATGCAGTCATATCATATGATTCGAGAGTTCTCCAAGCTTGAACTTTCCAACGCAGCGATCTGCGAAACTTGACACACGAGCGTGCTTTTCGCGTGTGTATGAATGGAAGTCTATGGGGAGAAAAGTCCAGTGTGACCTCAGCTTCACTTTTTTTTTTTTTTTTTTTAAATACATAAGCTGTTAGTTATCTTGAACGTAAACGTTTGTGATTTCCATTTTGGGCCTTTATTATGTACGCTGTAGAATGTTTCACATTGGTTAAACTTACAAACTCAAGTTCACAAGCTGCCTTGAAAATGTGAGTCAGCTCAACTTAGAGAGATTCTTTGTTTCCACTTAAGATGCCGACTTTCAGTTAAATGTATTGTGAAAGCATCAGCATCCTAAGTTGAAACAAAGGATATTTCTAAATTAAGTTAACTTAGATTTTCAAGGCAGCTGGTGAACTTGAGTTGGCAAGTTTAACAAAGTGAAATGTTTTATAGGTCACAGTTCAACACCAAATACATCCTATTTTGTGCCTAAAATATAACTTCAAGCTGAACTTCTTTCTTCTAATAGTTCACTGTGTGTTAATATTATTAATAGACATGAATAATTAATCAAATAGCAAAGGTTATTATTTTATTTAAATAAAACAAGCGTATGTGTTTTAATCTTAAAGGAATAGTTCACCTAACAATTTTCTCAATAAATTCTTACCTCAAGTGGTATAAACCTGGAAAAAAAGAAAGCTGAAAACCTGCAACCATTGACTTCCATAGTAGGAAAAACAGATACAGGCTACTACAGTATGTAAGTCAATGGTTACAGGTTTTCAGCTTTCTTTTTTTCCAGGTTTATACCACTTGAGGTAAGAAAATACTGAGATCAAATGGATATCATTCATTCATTCATTTTCTTTTCGGCTTAGTCCCTTTATTAATCTGGGGTCGCCACAGTGGAATGAACCGCCAACTTCTACAGTATATT